TACTCGTAATTGAACACATCTTACATGATATTTACGTGGTTAAGTGGGTTTAGTTGTTTTTGGATTTTGTTAAAAAATATATTGATTATCTTTCTCTTTTTCAAATTCCAATTGTCTTTTTGCTTGAAATATACATTTTCTAGGAACTAAAAATACAAATATTAAAAGAAAATTTGTTTCGCTAATTATTAGCTTACAAACATGTCAATTTCTTTTGTTGATAAAAGATATATTTTGCCCTCAAATTTTTCTGTCGAGAAAAAATTACAAATTTTTGTAGGAATAAATCATCCCCCTATTAAAAATTTTGAAGCATTCCATAATCCTACGAAACGTGATTTTTTGGCAAAAAAAAATTGAACTCCACCTACAAATCTCAATTTCTCTCCCAAAAATTAGTAGGGAAAGTATAAAAATTTCTTGTAGCATCATTGTTGAAATATTGTATAAAGCCCTTGTTTGATTCACTTTAAAATTTTAGCACATTCTTCTCTCATTTTCAACCACATATTTTTCAATAAAATAATATTACACGTAAATAAAAAAAAATTCTACTTTTTTAACCAAACATTCTTCCAAAAACTATTATTCCAAAATACATTTTACCTAGATTTCTTATTACAATAGTTGTCAAACAGGGACTAAAGCCTACAAAGTTCAAACAACCAATCATTTATGTTTAAAATTCAAATGATAAGTTAAGTTTTAATCTTAGGGTTCTCACATGATTCAACATCTTGCAAAGGAGCATTTTAAAAGTAAAATCCTACATCGACAAATATGGGGAAAATCCATATATAAATTTCTTAATAATATTGAACTTAAAGATGGTATACAAGTTTCAATTTCATAATAAATTTTGATAAACATAGAAATTTTGGACGGTGATCACAATATTGAGTAGAGACTTATTTTCTAATCAATGGTTGAATAACATATTTGAGGTAGAAATCTTACTGATGTTGTTAAGATTCTTGAAATATTGTAATTTGGACTTTTGTTTCATTTTTCGTATGTTCTAAAATTAAAATTAAAATCTTTTAAAAGAATTAATAAAAAACTAGAAAATAGTTATGTTTATTATAAAAAAATCTACAAACGCAAGTAATCTTCATTGATGATGTCAAAGATTTAGGAAAGCATGTTTGCGATTGTTTTTAAGTACGTATAGGCTCTAAATCATATGAATGTATATATAATAAGTTAATAGTAATTGTGATCTCATAACACATGTAGATAAAAAAAAA